ATTCTAACCAAGTTACTTCCTCTTGGCGGAGTTTTGTAAAATTAATTTTCCTCCCTATTAGAATCTTGTGGAAAAATGTGCCTTCTCTTTGGGACCCTAAAGAATGTGCAAGAAAGCCTTAGTGAGTATCTTCCTCGAGTCTTAAACTCCTCTAGGGCTGTCATTATACATAACTCTCTAGTTTGGAAGCATGAAGGGACAAGTGAGCATCTTCTGCTAGTGTTAAAATCTCTATTTTTTATTTATTATAAGGCACATTGTTGGCTCCAATTGGAATAGGCAGAAAGTAGACATTATCATTTCACTCCACTTGGAGTTCTATCATTTTAACCCCTTTCAACTCTTCACTTTTGATCTTCTTGTTATATTTACTTCAGCTCTTTGAAAGTCAAAATACAGGATGCCCTGGGATTTTTCTCTTTGGGCTTGGGCTAGCTAGATTCTCAAGAAATGGCTATTGGAGATTCTAACACCGGATTTATTTTTATTTTTTTAAGTTATCAAAAAAAAATACACCGGTGACACGATATTACATCCAACTGCCATTATCATGGAATCCAAGATCTCCATGCTGTAGACCAAATATAACTGCCATTATCATGGAATCTAAAATCTCTGTGCTGTAGACCAAATATGTTGCATAGATCTCCGTGCTGTAGACCAAATATGTTGCATGGATTTGACACAAGTACTGGGTGATGGATTCCTCATGCCATGAAGAAGAGAACTTTGTAACATGGTTATGTTATAAAGAGATTAGTATTCCATTTATGATAAGTAGCTAAAATAATCAATTATACTTTATTTTCAGAGTTTCATATACATCTCCAAAATTTACATGTCTGCTCAAAACAAGAAAAAAGCATCAAATCTCTGAAGTTATGCAATCAATGGTTAATAAACAAGAAGAATTCCAAAGAACCTGCATCTGTATGTGTGTGGATACCAGTTGGACATGGGTCGGCACTCAAATAGAAGAATCCATGTAGCATATGACCAAAATAACTTCGACGGTGAGGAGCCACTTTCTGGGGTCACTCAATAAGATAAATATCCCAAATTTTTCCACATATTTCAGTGCAAGAAACCACTTAACTAGGAAAAGGAAAGAAGATCAAAGCATAAGGAGCCTCATGCTTGGCCCTATCGATGTGAATCGCTGATAAAATGCTCATATTCAGGACATTTCAGTGGTATCACTTACCGAGGCAAAAAAATTAGGAAACACCGGCTTGGGTCTATCAATGTAAATTATTAAACCAGTTTCCCTAGCCAGAGAAGAATTAAAATTCAATATGATCAAGTTGGATATAACTTTTGCCCTCTTTCTTTGAGGGAAAAATTACACATGTATGCTGTGCAGATAAAATAAAGGGAATTGCATACTACAAGACCATTTACCTTTTGATACAAGACAGTCAAAATTACCGACCATTTACCTTTCGATACAAGACAGTCAAAATTACCCCTAGTCATCACTTGCGAAATTTGGCAACTAGTAGTTTATTACAGCGTTCGAAAATATCTTTTGGGCCTTTAGCCTGGTTAATGGCACACGGCAACGTGGCTAAGCTAAGGATGGTAGCAATCTCCTTAAGCCAAAGGTAAATAGTCTCACTCTATACATTTCTCATAAGGAAACAACTCTAAATGCTTCTCATATAATTTCAAGACACATCGTCCATGTTTATTTCTCAGATAGTTCAGGTTTATTGAAGCAAAAATATAATTAGTCCGAAAAATGATCAAAACCCCATAAAGTATAAGAGGAATTGTAGATAAAACTCACCATATCGAGCCCAGAGTTGAGGTTCAACTCCACTGCACTCTCTGACTAAAATAGGAAAAGTGGGGTTCAGCGTCTTCAAATCTGTATAATTCCTCTGAACAAATTCTCTGCCCAAAATGAGGGGAAAAAAAAGAAAGTCAAATTAGTCACCCTATAACATTGAATCTAAAGCAAACAAAAAATACTTCATACAAATTAAGAGAATTAAGAAGAAGTCCATAGTTTAAGAATAGCGATTCAACAAACTTAGAATCGAACAACCCAAATTAAAAGGAAAAAGATCTCCAAAAAGACCTAAATTAGAAAATGAAATACCCAAAGGCGCAATCTTTAGACAATATATTAGCTGAAAAATTGAAGGTAAACAGATAGATTTAGGGAAAATTTCTACAAAAATGAGAAAGGAGGATAAAAATTTTCATCTTTTTAGGGAAATTATCTAAAGAAAAATATCAAAATAAAAGATAAAAATAAAGCGTGGATTTGGTGTGACAGAAACCTTGTAGAAGCACTAGCAGGCGATGTCTGGCAGAAGAGAACACGGAGTTCCTTGAGGTTGCGAGACAGATGCCCTCTCCATGCCATCTTTGCTCCCCAACTCTCTCTCTACTTTTTACTCTCTCTACTGTTTCTTCTCTCTCTCTATAAAAATGCCCCAAACAGGACACTATACAGTATGCAACCGAGGGAGAGCACTCCAGGTTCGGGTCCACATCTAAGATCTTCGACCCGGTCCAGTACCCGAAGCATAGACCTGACCTAGGTCCGGGAATGGGTCCAAAATTTGGACCCTACGCGTTGGGGCCGGGTCTAAAAAATCTTTTGAAAGATCTCAGACTTCCGGATGCGGCTATGAATAAAAAAAAAGAAAAGGGAAATTTACGTTTAGACCTGGTTTTTTTACTATTATAACGGTGTGATTAAAAAATAGCATATTATTATACGGAATGATGGATCTTTGATTTTTTTAAAATTTTTAACAACATTGCCATTGGTCCGATTTTGCAAAAATCGGACTGCTTGACTACCCCAATACTTATCTCGACTTTTTATGTATGAAAAAAGCGGTCCAATAGTTAAAACATAGTACCACATTCTGTTGAAAAAACATAGTGAACAAAGAGGTCCAATGTTATAATCATCGAGCTACATTATATTGCAATTTTTTGTGAAAAATCAAGCAGTCAGTTGTTTCTAACATTGGACTACATTTTGTTCAATTATTTTTCGATTTTTTTACCATCGAACTGCATTTTGTTCAATTTTTTTAAATGAATGATGCAATCCGATGTTTGAACCATGAGACGGTATATTGTTGTAGTTTTCTTGTAGAATCAAGGTGTTGGATAGTTGTAACATTGAACCGCATTTAATTGAACCAAGAAAGCTTGGTTCAATGGTCTATTTGGTTGATGAACAGTTGGCCCAAGTGGTGGCAAACGACCAACACGAAGGCAAAAATATCGAGAGTCCAGAGAATGAAAATTAGAGGAAGAAGAAAGGTGAGGTGGGAAGAAGGAGACAAAGAAGGTGAAGCTGGATGGGGATTGTGGAAGAGGCGCATAATGTGAGGGTGGTGGTTTCAGGCGAGAAGGTGATAGTGCTAGCACATGGGTTCGACACCGATCAGTGCCCTAAAAGCACTTGGTTCCCCATCCGGTCCATGACCACAAAGTGATACCACTTGAAGAGAAATTTAGCTTTGCGAATATGAAAAGCTCAAATGCTAGAAATAGAGTGATTTTTCAGAAACAAATTTCTCTCCTAAAATTTGGGCCTTTTTGTTTTCTTTATCTGCAGAGAGAGAGAGAGAGAGAGAGAGAGAGAGAGAGGCCCGAGATAGGAGAAAGAGCGAGAGCCGAGAGAGAGGACCAAGAGCATGCCAGACAGAAGAGAGAAAAAACTTCAAAGCAAAGTTTTGAGGGCGTAAATAAAGCTGTCTGATGTTCGAAATACTGGACCCAGAGTAAATTTGGCAAAAAATAAAAAAAAAATCTAGATATGTCTTTCCAAGTAATAACGGGCTATTTTTAGGTAATATCATTATAACGATAGAAAAACTCGGTCCGTACATAAATTTTCCAAAAAAGAATTTCGAGAAGCGATTTGTCTACAAGGAGACCATCTATCTTTTGTACAAGAGGTCACAACTATTCTAGCTCATTAGATATTATATTGAATAGTTTAGAGTGAATCACGAAGTCAGAGATTTTATTTTTTTTAACTTTGTGTCTATTCAATGACACTCTTACAACCACCCATTTTGAAATTTAAGTGACCAGAATAATTGTGACCTCCTTATACAAAAAATAAATAATCGCTTTATAGAAATTCCTAACAAGTTATCTAGGCCGTCTATTTTCAATATTTCCAAGTATTTATAGATCTTCTCTATTTATACTATTTTTGAAATTTTAAATTTCATAATTAAGAATAAAATTAGGGTGTGATTTGTATAAAATTGCAACCTCAAACAATCAAATTAAGACGCACCTCCAAATTTTATCATAAATATAATTTTGGAGCAAAAAACTCAACTCGAGAATCTATTTTCATCTCTAATTATAAATCTTAAGCTTAAAAAATGTTTCAAATCAAGTAGATCTATAATCACTTGAAAATCTTGAAAATGGATGATCTAGATAATGTGTTATAAGATACACTATATTTTTAATACTCGAAATCTATTTATATTTGGGAAAAGTTTATATAGAGCCGAGGCTCTAAACAATCAAATTTGAGCCTACTTCAAAAATTTCACTAGAAGAGGTTGTTTTGATGCCCAAATATTTTTAAATTGATCATCTCGACAGCAAGATGCATGGACATGGGAAAAAAATGGATTTCAAGTTTTGGAAATAGTATATTTTGTAATACAATTTTGGACAGTCAATTTTAAAGATTTTCAGGTTTTCGTAAATTTATCGATCTATACTATTTCTTAAGCTTTAAAGTCTATAAATAAATATGAAAATATATTTTAAGGCTATCAAACAGATTTTCAATAATAAAACCACATTTCTCGATACTATTTGAAGGTCAGCTCTAATTTGATTGTTTAGAGCTTAGGCATATACAAACCACACCCTTTATATTTCCACATTCATACATCTCTATGTCCAGATAAATCTTGCAACCTTATATAAATTTTTTCTATAAAAATATTTTTTTAATCATTATAATGTTTGTGACATCGGAACTACGTCTCTAATTAAATTTAAAAAATGCACCTCATTAAAGTGTAAAGAGGGCGCCTTAGACAAACCTCCCCGACAAACTTCCACAAAATCATGCCATTTTTGGCCTCTCACTATACTCTTTCCACAAAATCACAATTCCACGTTATTTTTCTCAAACAATCGACTAGCTCCTAGTGGAATATGGAATACATTCATGCAAAAGTACTAGATGATTTTTCTGTTATGAAATTTTAGAAAGAAAATTGTTTCATACGGGCTAGACTGCATTTTTACATATGCGGTCTAGAAAGTGTAAATCATCCATTTTTAAGATGGATGCAAGTTCCATCTAAAAACAATAGAAACTAACAGTCCAAATATTTGTTTACTAGAATTATTATTTTTAGTTTTAAAAGTTTATTTATTTTTTCATATTCACGATCTCCATGTTAGATATTACATGTCCTTAAAAATTAAACCTTAAAATCCATCTAAAAAATAGATTTATTAAGAGGCCCCGCATTTCTACATATGCGGGCTTGGTTGCATAGAAACTAGGTCCATTTTAGAATTTTGAGTATTATTAGATAATTATTCTTAAAAAATATTAAATTTTGAGTATTTCAATACTTAAATCTTTCCCTCCAAATTAATATATATAGTCCTAGCCCGAGTTTTACCTGAGGGAGCAAGATAGTATGCTCCTGCAAGGGAAGTATACCTTATGAGATAACCCTAAACAACCTACCCACCTCTTGTGGGACATCTATGCCCATGTTTTCATCATTATTCCATTCGAGCATCCTTATTGATGAGAAGTTTATGATTATTTTCTAATTTTTTTTGTTTCAATTTTTAAAGTTTTAATGATATTTTTATTTCAGATCTTAAAGACCTAAAGTTATATCTAGATGAATATTGGCACTTAGATATTTGTGTTTTGGCTCTCAAGCCAAAATAATTCAAAGTATTAGCTTTGTACCCTTACGTTTTCACTTTGAAGCCAAAACTTATGAAGTATTGGCTTCGGAGCCCATCCCAAAACAATACAATTCTACATTTTTGCAACTTGGTTTTGATCATATATCCGGAACAGATATCGAGTAGGTTTATCTTGGAAGAAAAAAAAAGAAAAGAAAAAGGTTAATAATATAAGATACTCTTTGGAAAATTTTATACAAAAAATTGTTCGAACATGAGTACAAATTTCCCTCCATTGGATGATTTTTTACCTTGGCCAAAATGAAGGGCAATTTTATGTTTTTGGGATAAAAACGTTTTACTACCAGCATTGTATATTATGAGACAATTTACTTATTTTTATAAAAAAATTACGATCATTTTTAACTATTAAATATAAAATACAATAAATCAAAATGCGTAACTCGAAAAATTTTATTTTAATTTTTCTAACTAAACAATAACACATACTCAATTACCCAATTTCAAATCCTCACTACCCAATTTCAAATCCTCTTTACACATTTCCTTTTCCTTCTTTTTATTACCTCTAAACTCGAAAGCAATTTCGATCATTCATGACCATCTTACACCCTACCCACGCCAAGGGCAATTACGTCTTTTTCGATAAAGACCATCACCGAGGGCAATTTCGTTAGTTTTACACAAAGCGAGCTCGTCATCCGCGAACAATGGCGAGCCCCGTGCTTTCCACGACCAGAGGAATGTACAGCGAAAGCCTAACCAGAAAACCCTAGATTTCATGGCCATGGCGAAGCCCTAAACACGAACTCCTGGTTCTCCATTAATTTATCCTCTATTTTCTCGGCCATCCATGGAACCGGGAGTTCCTAGGCGAACCTATATTAGGTGGGCAAGTTTCTGTGGTTTTGGACTTGGAATTGAAGCTGAGATATTAGAGGAGTTTCAGAGTAAAGGGGGCATAGGATAATGGAAAAGAAGGTTCTTTTAGTGGCTATTGACAATAGCAAGGAGAGCTTGTACTCTCTGGAATGGACTTTGGACCATCTCTTTGGTCCCGTGGGTGGGGAGGACCACTTCAAGCTGGTGCTCATCCATGTTAAGTTGCAGGCCCTTTCGGTTCTTCGCTTTGCCGGACCTGGTAAGAACCCATTCCATGATTCATAAGAGAAATTTGGTCTTCTTCTCAATGGTAATGCTGATGGTGTTGATGATAAAGTGGTGGTGCATTTCTTTTCTATGGTTTCAGTTTGAATGTGACATGCACTTTTGTGGAGTTTGGGTTTGAACTTTTGAAATGAGCCTTTAATGAAGTGGATATGTCTTAAGATGGATTATTTTATTATAT